AAAAGCTACTCTAGCGTGCGCATAGTCCTCTCCACGATAAAACTGTTAGACTTGCTTACTCCGCCTAATTTAAACTGGACTGAAACAGTAAAATTCATCTTACGTAAGTAACCTTATACATTCGCAGTAAATAGTATCAAACACGGTTAAAAAAAAATCAGGTCACACTTTTTCGTTTTATATCCGACTAATCCGAACCAATCTCAACATCTGAATCTCTCACCATTTCCCAATGCATCCACAATTCGTCATCAGAATGTCATCGGAGTAACTGTTACTGCAAGTAGTTCTTTAAGAAGCAATTCTTCAAATCTTTAAAGCAAAAATAGGAACAATTAAACATTATTAATTAATCTCACCTATTCATTCATCTGATTATTTTTAATGTACGGTACTGATTAACACAATGAGCAGATTTTCTGAAAACCACATTGTAAAAACAATACACTGCAAATCTTTGATCATGATCCCTGATTCACTCATTATACATACATACTGGGAATAAACTACACCTTTTTATGGAAACAATATAAACCAAGACAAAACAAGACATAGGCAAATCGGGATCTCTCTAAACTGTTACAGATGATATAATACCACATTATATCTTGTTTGAAAAGCAAATATTGGAGATGCGTCCCCGAATTTAGAAGGAACTAATCTAAATAAGGTTTTACATAATATCAGGAGCGTATAATGACAAATATGTCATTTGTCATTATACGCAAATTTGTCATTATTTACAAAGGGCTGCACCCTATAATCTCTATTATGAACAGCACACAAATTACTGTGGAGGAAGAAATGTGAACTAGTGCAAAAAAGCATAGCAGGTGAGAATTAAGACGAGTAGAACATTACGTATATGTGTGTTTAATCGAGAACGCTGTTACGGAGACACAGCTTACTGCCCTTATTCATCTGCGTGCTAGCGACGAACTAGAGACACACCGTCCTGGAGGTGTGCAAAACCATTATTCATCAAATAATAGGCAAAGCTCCAGGCAATGGTGGTCTCAATAGTTATTTTGTAAAGTGCTTGATGGTAGTTTTGCGAGTTAGCTAAGAGCTGTGTGTCGGGTGACAGGGACTACGTTAATGGAGGGAAAATTAGTGTCTAAGAAACAATAGGCTGCGAGAAGTAATTCCCCATGGAAATGTGAAGAACGAATTCGATAATGTAGCTCTGTAAACAAGGATTACAATGCTACATTACATTTTCAGAGAAGGTGATTTCAGAAGATACATTGATCGCAGAAACCACAAATTTAGCTAAGAGCATGGCTAATTACATATGAGATTAAATGTCTATACGTACAATGTTCTGCGCATCTGGTTGATATGAGCTATTTCAACTTGGCGATTTCAGTACGGAAAACAGTAGGCAGGAGAATAAATAGTAGGTGGCTATAATAATTGGATCTTGTGTCTGTGTGCTGGCCTGCAGGGGGCGTACGTACGTGAGCCGCTCCAACAGCGAGGTGAGAGAGCACGAGAAGGTGGTGCCCCATCTGTCAATGTGGGGTCGAGGGATGATCTGGCTACAAGATGTAAAGGAAAGGAAGAAGAAGGGCAAACGTTTTGACATTTAAAGACCCGAATCTCGGTAGTCAAACTAGTCGGTTCCAGTGTTAAAATTGACGGTAATTTTCGCAGTAGCCGGCTTCTAATCAATCCCTCTGACATGATCGAACCCGATTAGTTGCCTAGCGAGTGAATCTGTTATTTGAATCTCGGTGAAGTGGCGTTTTCGAGGTCGCCCTGGGATACGTGCCTCTCTAAAAGTGGACGTACATTGAGAGCTTCAGCATGAACCAACATGCATGTCACATTTCACAGTTTAGGGGTAAACAAGCAAGATAGAGAGAGAGAGAGAGAGAGAGAGAGAGAGAGAGAGAGAGAGAGAAAGAGAGAGAGGGGGAGGGACGGGAGGGAGAGGGGGAGAAAGATTCTTTTACTTGCGTCCTCGTGGGCTAATTACATGTACCGGTGTTTGCGCGGCGTGTGAGTGCATGCATGTGTCTGTTGTACGTATGTGTGTACGTGCGTGCGTGCGTGTGCGTGCGTGCGTCCGTAGGTACCTCTGTGTCCGGGCACGCGTATATATATATATGTCGTGTGTGTTTGTCGTTGTGCGTGCCGTGCGTGCGTGCGTTGTGCTAGCGCGCACGCGTGTGAGTGCACGAGTGTTTGCGGATCGTGCCGGCTGTTGTGCGTGCGCCGCGCGCGCGCCCCGGCCGGCGCCGGCCCCTGTGGTTGGTGTGTGCCGGCCCCGCGCTTGGGTTGGGTGTGCTCTCGGGTGTGTTTGGGTTGTGGCGCAACCTACTCTCAGTAAAAAACTACCTCTAGCTGTGTGCCGCCATAATGCCTCTCACGATAAAACTGTTTAGACTGCGTAATCGCCTATTCTTTAATGGCATACAGAAACGTAAAATTACATCTTACGTAACATCTATACATCTTAATTATCACCCCCACCCCCCCCTCCCCTTACACGGTAAACAAAATCAGGCTTACACTTTTTGTTCTATATATGATAATCCGAACCAATCTCAAACACCCTTGAATCTCACCATTTCCCCAATACCATCCACATTCGTATGACAAAAGGAATGTTCATGGAGTAGTGTTACTTGCAAGTAGCGGTAGCAATTCTTCAAATCTTTAAATGCAAAAATAGAAACAATTAAACATATTAATTTAATCTCACCTTTCATTCATGTGATTATTTTTAATGTACGGTACTAATTAACACAATGGAGGCCCAGTTTTTTCTTGAACCACATTGGTAAAAACAATACACTGCAATCTTTGATCATGCATCCTGATTCAATCATTATACATACTGGGAATTAACTACCACCTTAAATCTTTTTATGGGAAACAATTATAAACCAAGACAAAAAAGGACATAGGCAAATCGGGATCTCTAAACTGTTACAGATGATATACTACCACATTATATCTTGTTTTTTGAAAGCGGAATATTGGAGATGCGTCCGAATTTAGAAGGAATAAATCTAAAATAAGGTTGACTACATTAATAATCCATAATGACCTCACCACCAAGCTATAGGCTGCACCCTTCTCCTATTCAGCATAATGACCTCCCCCATCAGCTATAGGCTGCACCCTTCTTCCTATCAGCATAATGGACTACCACCACCAGCTGATACGGCTGCACCCTTCTCCCTATCAGCATAATGACCTCACCACCAGCTATAGGCTGCACCCTTCTCCCTATCAGCATAATGACCTCACCACCAGCTATAGGCTGCACCCTTCTCCCTATCAGCATCGGTTCACTATCAGCTATACTTGCACGACTTTCGACAAAAAACATTGCGTAGTGAAAAATCTTTGCTATAAGTACGTCCGTCTACACCTACCTTTCAGCTTTATTAGGAGGCAAGCTTGTTTTGGGGGATATTTCTGAGAGAAATTGCATCCAATAAGCGCCGAAATTTAAAAATACGGAGTTGGAAGCGTCAAATCTAGATTTCAATTTATAGCTAGTGTATTACATTTCTGTTTTTTTATTTCTTTACAAAATTTACTTATTTTAAAACAACGCTGCATGATAGTAATGAAGCTTTTCTCTACACAGAGAACTTACCCCTTTGTTTGTGTAAGCCCCGAAGGTAAACAGATAAACTTCTATCCCAATTATTTCCACATTTTTGCCTCAAAGGTTTTATTATTACGTACTTCACATTCTTCCATAAAGAACAAAACTCAGCAGTTTCAACACAAAGCACAGAGGTCCCCTTATTGGCACGGAATAACAGGCCGCTTTTGGTTAAATAAATATGCCCGGTTGAAAAACAATCTTCAACCTGTATAACTTATGTGTTCACCGCTTGAATCTGCGACACTGCAGAACGAGCGACATCTTTCATAGTTCCTAGCCTGTCCCGATAAAGCACCTGTATTAGGATCCACTGTATGAATAGGGCGGAATCACGAATCCACCAGTTCCCTACTTAACCGAACCCTATAGGACACTTCATAGATATGCTCACCTTCTAACAAGATATTTTGTATATTTTTGACATCATGTTGCCAAACAGGCTTTGTATCTTCGGTTAATTTACGCTCTATATACATTCAAACGAAAAACAGTTCGGTTACGGTGACCACATGATTTACAGCGCCTATGCCGCCACAATAGACACACCATCTCAGCTGGGTCGATAGCAAAACCTACCCACGACTTTAGATCAGCAGGCCCTTCTCTCTCTTGGCCCGAAATTTGCACTGCGACATTATCATAACAACGAATTATTAACTTACCACTGTACCATGCATAAGGCTATTTCCTTCAATGCGACATGTCCTTGAGGGGGGCCTTTACACTACCGACAGCACTCTACGTGCGATAGACTCATGAGCAGTGCCTTATTACCATCCTATAACATTTACTCGCACCACCCACCAGCCACGCTCTGACATCTTTCCCGTTCAACCTCGCCAAAGCCTAGCTCTCTCTCCCTCTCTCTCTCTCATCTCTCTCTCTCTCTTTCTCTCTCTCTCTCTCTCTCTCTCTCTTCTCCTCTTCTCTCTGCTCTCTCTTCTGGGATCTCATCCTCTTCTCTCTTTCTCTCTCTCTCTCTCGCTTTTAGCTTTCGCCTTTCTACCCTCGAGCCTCGACGTGCGGACTCCCCCGCCACTCCTACACCCAGCTCTGCATCTCACTTCTCGTACCCTCGGCATCGTAGAAGGCTTTCTAATTCCGCAGCGTGTCATCATCCTGTGCCGCGAGTACAGCACTCGTCGCCACAAACTCTGTCAATCTCTGCTTCACGTCATCCTTCCTTTTCTTTGTCATCGCCACTGTGTACTCCTCC